GGGTGTTGATTGGAGAAGAATGAATAAAAAAAAAAAGAAAAAAGAAAAAGTAGAAAAAAAAGGGTGAAAGTCATTATTGATATAACATTACTCTTCTATACTATATATTAAGGAAAAGGGAACTTTAAACCCCAAGCCTTGTGGGAGCTCCAATCTTCTAATCTAAATTTCTTGATTTTTTGATTTAAAAAAAAAAAAAACTTAGCATTTATTAACTTCTACCAGCCCCCATGTCTTACCCTCATAATAACACTTTAATGCATTAAGAATAAGCATAAAAAAATTCTTTGAAATCCAACACATGAATTCCTTGAAAGTCTCAACCCATATGATTATTATCCATCATAATAATATTTTAATGTATTAAGAACAAGTATAAAAAAAAAAGAACAATGCTACAGACCCCCAGTGGGGGTCCGACTCCCAGTGACGTGGCGTGACCTCATTGGCTGGAAAAAAAAAACAGTTTTTTTTCGCCCAATCAGGGCCCTACACGCACGACCCCAGCACCCCCACTGGGGTCGGAGGCATTTTCCTTTTTTATTTATTTTTTTGACTATTTTGATCATAAAAATATTAAAAAAATAAAAAAATTAATCAGATAAAATATTATATTTAAATTTTAATCATTTTAAATTTTTCTTTCACAAAAATTAAAAAATTAAAAAATTCATCACAAATAAAACTTTTTAATCTCAAACTAAACTAGCTACAAAACTAAAAAGCAAATTCACATACACTAAAAATGTAATTCACGTTGAACAAAAAGCACGTGGCAATAGTAGTGCACACTACTATTTTAAAAAACAATTGTTCTATTTATTCATAAATAATCATAAAATTATATACAATTATCTTTCATAGGTGTGGTGTGGGATCTTGATAAAATTAGAGAGAATTTTAAAAATGTAAAGTGTAGATAAAATAATTTTAAAATAATAAAATTACAAATGATTCATGTATAAATTTATGCAATAAAAATTTATACTATTATCATATATATTTAAATTATTTTTTTAACCTTTACTTTTTTGATATTCTCCCAAAATATTAAAACTCACCTTATGTAAAAGAGTCGTGTCTAATTCTGTAATTATGTTCTATATTTTTTTAGACATTTTTTCTTTAAAAAAATCTTGATAGGAATGTTGTGGGGTTATCCCATACTAATAATGTTAAAAACACAGTAATCAAATACAAATATTTTATAAATAATGAGTTCTAATATGCGAATCTTAGGCTCTGTTTGTTTGTGCTTTGAAAATAGTTTTCAACACTTGAGTTTGAGCATGATGTTTGGTAAGAGTTTTGGAATTAATTTTTCAAAACTTTGCCGGAAGCTCTGTCTATATGTCAAAGCATTCTGTTTGTTGCAAAGGGGGCGTTTGAGGGAACGGGACGTCTGGCCGGTCGTCCGGCCAGCTGTCCGAAACAGTAATTTTTTTTTTTTTTTGCAATTGATTTATATAATCGGGAAAAATATTTTCTGAAAATTTTTAAATTTTTTATATGCTTTAAAATAATTTTGAGTTGTATGTTTAGTTATGAGTTGTAAATTTTTGTATCACATATCAAATGTCACATCAACAATTCCCCACTCAAATCAAACCTCTTTTTCAAAACTATTTTCAAAACTCTTTACCAAACAAATTTTCTACACTCAAATCATAATTCTACAACACACAAACTCAAAATATAACTCATACTCTCAAATCACATTTACAAAATACAACCAAACGCAGGCTTATTCTTTATAAAATATTTGTGTTTTATTCTGTATTAATTTCTGTGTATAGACTCAACCTCCGTTTGGGAAGTGGGTTGATTTTTTGACTTTTTGACTTTTTTGGCTATTTTAGTCTGGGCTCAAAAGCTTGGTTTGGGAAGAACTTTTTGGTTTTTTGACTTTTTTGACTTTTTTTTTAGAGAAGAGTGTAATAATTATGGGTTGAATGTGATGTTTTGTTTGTTATGGCTAAAATAGCCTATTTTATCTTTTGTGACTAAAATAGCTCGAAACTAACTTGCTAAACAATGCACCCACAAGAATGCACCCACAAAAAGGAAAGATTATTGATTAGCCTTGAAACACCTCATGATTATGCCTCAAATCAATCACAAATCCCTATATCCTCTCATATTCTTGGATGACACAATAAAATAACATCTCTTCTATCAATTACAATAACCTATGAAGCAATTAGTGGATACAAAACAGGTTAATCCGTATTTGTCAGCTCCTCCTGCCTCAGAATACTTTAAGTTTCCAAAGTTCAAAACCAAAAATTTTGATACAAAAATATTTGGGAACTCTAATTAGAGTTGCCACTAATGATGTGGCACTCACTGTCACAGTATTTCTATGTCTTGATTTTTTTTTTTTTTTTAAACTTTCCACCTATTTAGAGCAGCTTTTAAAATCGCTAAATTAGAGGTCTCAATCGGAATTGATTTCGATAACCCAAGCCCAAGAATTCAACCATGGGGCTGTCCTTGACCATCCACTAACTTCCCCACACCAAAAGCAACTTCTCCGCACCAAGAGCAGAGCGGAGCTAGGTTATGTCTTCGTCAATAAATCCAATTCCACTTCCATTACTGCACCCATGGGACACCTCGTGGACCCCACTCCCCCTCTCTCTCTCCAACAATAAAAGTAATATAATAATAATACTTTTGTATTATTATTTAATTTATGTGACACCAGTTATTAAAAACTTAACACAAGTAAGGGTTGGTTTGGGATGCTCTAAAAAAATACACTTTTTAATTTATTGGCTTATATGGGTTGGGTTTGGGTCGGGTTTGATGTGATGTATTAGAGAGGTGATGTGATTTAAATAAGATGATGTGACTTAAATAGGATAGTGACTTTTTGACTTTTTGTATTATTTAGTAGATGCCAAACTTGGCCTAAATTACGGAATGTTTGAAAATCAAGTTTTTAATTTTTTATAAATGACGTGTAAAAAATGTGAAATGAATGATTTGATAAGCCCTTTGTATATTTTAAATTGATGACGATCAACTCATTTTGTGCCAATACTTTATGAAATGAGTGAGGTTAGTCTTAAACTTGGATTTAAATTTAAAACTTAATTCGGCACGCTTGTGGGTCAGATTTATTGGTCCTTAAGAAGTGACTGTTGAATGGCTTGTCAGGATAATGAATTTGTCAAAAATTATATAATTTTTTTTTTTAAATTTTAAAAATGTATCTTTCATCTTTGGCTTTGTGAGAGAAGAGTGTAATGATTATGGGTTGGATGTGATGTTTTGTTTTTTGTGACTAAAATAGCATATTTTGTCTTTTGTGGCTAAAATAACCAAAAAAGCCCCCAACCCAACTTGCCAAACGGAGCCTTTGTCTATCAGGCTAACTTCACGAACTTGTCTAAGCCAATCTCATTAAGATTAAGTTTGGCAATTTAAAAATAATCTATCTTTTTATCTTTTTTTCATCACATCGCCTCTTTATTTTTCTATATATTTTTTTTATAAAAAAATAAAAAATACATTTATTTAGTTTATTCCAAACGACCCCTAAATAAAGCTTAAAGGCAAGATTTTGATCCGAATAAGTCTGACTCTAGCACACTAGACTTAGCCATGACAGCTTGCTTGGGTTTCACTTTCACATGCAACCTAGTGTTGACTTTTTAGTATGTCTCGTTATTTTTAATTTTTACTACATACTTAATTGGAAACACCATATAAATAATATTAAATGATGCTCTTGGTTAATTATTGCCATACAAAATTTAGTCATTGTTGAAACACCACATGATTACATATAGTATTTTGTAATTTGTCAATCATATTAATTAATTTTCAAACAATGTAAGCATTTAATTTTTGATATTAAGTAGACACTGTTAGAGTAATTATTCAATAATCTAGAAACATCATATTTTAAATCAGCTGCTTAATAAATTTAAAAAAAAATTAAATATGTGAAAAAAATGCAAATATATAATAAATTTTATAAATATTAATAATTATGATTATATTTTTTTTCATAATTATATAAAATTAACAATTAATTGTAATTTTCTCAATTTTTTTATGAATAAACATATTAACTCAATGATTTCTTTTTTAAAAATACTTGACATGCTTAATTTATCATTTTTAAAAATCACGCATAATGATGTGTTTAATAAGTGTCAAATTATAATTTGTTAAACATTTTATTATATAAATTTAATCTCAATATCACATCATTAAAGGTCATTTAAGAATAACAAATTATGGAAGAGTTGAGTTTCTTTTATGTTGAGATTTCAAGATCTAAATTGTTTATTTTGTAAGGCTTTCAATACATAATATATATGAAAAAAATTAATTTAATTCAATAATCATAATTTTTTATTTTATTATATTTACGATTACTATATTAACTTAAATTATTTTATAAATAATAAAAATATTATGATTATTATATTAACTTTATAAATAATACACATTAAAAGTCTTATAAAATAAATGATTTCAATTATCAAAATTAATACTAGATTTAACATAACACAAAAAAGTCAAAAAATTAAAAAGTTACTATTCTATTTAAGTCATATTATTTTATTTAAATTACATTATTTCTCTATCACATCACTTTAAACTTAACGCATATTTCGAAAAAAGTCAAAAAAAATATGCTTATTTACATCATCAAACCAACCATAAATTATGATCCCAAATTCTCTGAGAGTTGTGGTGGTAGGTCCGGCCTAGTTCTCCCCATCCTTCTCTCTGCTGATCCTAAATGCTCTCACAAACTTCTCTCTCTCTAAAATATGTGTATGAGCTCCATCTCTCTCTTTCTCTGCTTCGTTTTCAGCAAATCGTCTGTCTCTCTCTCGCCCTCTCTTTCTCTGCACAAAGCTTTCTTTTTTCTTTTTTTTTTCTTGATGGTGGACGCACAAAAGGGTCTTTGCTCCATTTGAATTTCAGAGCTTTCGAAGGTTTTAAAAGTAAGAGCTTCTCAGATTCTCAGTCTCTCAGCTTGTCCCTTTCTCAGATACATATATTTTGACACACACGCTCACTCTCTCTCTCTCTCTCTCTCTCTCTAGCTTTGCTTTTATAAAAGTCGAATTTTCACTGTAAAGTAAAATTTTGGATTCGTTTTTGATATAACCCACATGTTTTCTTTATTCCTTTTTGTCTATGTATGTATATATATACACATATATCCATGGTTGAAACTGTTTTCGTTTCTGGGTTTTTGATTTGTTTGGCTGTTTGTTTGACTTTGAAACTTTCAAGATTTCCCACTTCAGAATTGGTGAGTTCTCCTGGCGTTGACATGTTTTTTTTTTTTTTATAAAGTATTTTTTATTTCAATTTTAGCAAATTTCAGCTTTCTATATATATATATGTGTTTTGGTGTTTAGTAGCTAAGCTTGGACTGTTGAATTTGGTTTTTAATCTTTGATCATTACGTGATTAATTCTTTCAATTTTGAAGGATGACCCTCGGATTGCGACTCGGTTGATGCTGCCATTTCATTGGTTGTGGATGTCAATTGGGGTTGGTTTGAATGCCCTATTACAAGTAGCAAATTCAACCCCCCTTTTGTTGGGTATTTCTTGTTGACTTGTGGTTTGATTGCAACATTTCATCTTTCTTTGTTTGACTCATAGTGGTTATTGGTTTTCAAAGTTGTGCAACAGCTCACATGTTCGGCTACTTTGATGTTGAGGCCTATTTTGTTGCTTTGTGTGGTTAGAGTGTTTTGTAGTAGTAGTTTGAGATTTTAGTTTAAGATTTTGTGGGTGATTGGTAGTACTTGCGGTGGAATAGAGATGGAGAAAGATGGAGGAGAGGACTGGAGGGAGATGGTGAGAAAGATGCTCCCCCCGGGTGCTCCCCTCCCGGAAGACGAGTCTCACCTTGATTACTCAATAGCAATAGAGTATAATGGACCCCCGGTTTCGTACGAGCTTCCTCGATTTGAACCTGTTGATGTAAATTCAGCTATGATTCCAACTGCGTCAATAGCAGAACCGCCCTTAGAATCACAAAGATCAGTGACCTGTGATGTCGCCCCTGTAATTGAACCAATCCCTTTGCCAGTGTCTCGTCTTTCTGGTGTCACACGTCCTCCTACTCACAGTCCAAGAGTATCTGCAAGTTCAGAGTCTGTAGTGTCTGTCTTGCAGAACCCTGATTTCTCTTCTGCTTCCCTTTCGGCATCTCCGGGTTCTGTTCACAATCCTCCAAATAATGCTTCTAAACTGTTAGTTAATGAAGTAAGGAGAGCCCCGGTTGTCACTTTCAATACTTTGGATAGATCGGAAAGAAAAGACCATGTGGAGAAACAAGTTTTTCCTGAATATGTTGGGGTTTCCCAGGAAAAGAAGAAGAAAAAGAAAAGAAGAATCTGTTATAGGTGTGGAAAAGGGAAGTGGGAAACAAAGGAGTCATGCCTTGTTTGTGATTCAAAGTATTGCAGCAATTGTGTGCTTAGGGCTATGGGTTCTATGCCGGAAGGACGTAAATGTGTTACTTGCATTGGTGAGCCAATTGATGAATCAAAGCGGTCCAAACTTGGTAAACATTCAAGGTTATTAGCCCGATTGCTCAGTCCTTTAGAAGTCAAGCAAATAATGAAAGCAGAGAAAGAATGTGCTGCTAATCAGCTTCGACCAGAGCAGCTGATTGTAAATGGGCTCCCTCTGAAGCCAGATGAGATGGCTGAATTACTTGGATGCTCTTTACCACCGCGGAAATTGAAGCCCGGTAGATATTGGTATGACAAAGAATCTGGTTTCTGGGGAAAGGTAAATGCATCATTATTCTGTTATATACACAGGCCATTATTTCAATTCTGCTTTTGTACATGAAGAATAATTCATTTATTATTATTATTTGTTTGTGTGTGTGTGCATGCGTGCACACACGCGTGTGTGGATAGCCAATGCTGCCAGTGAGCAAGGGACCACTGGTTCAGTGTTTAAAACTCGACCTGTTAACCTTGAGGTTGTAGGTTCGAACATGAGGGCAGCTACTTTGTGCACATTATGCCAAAGATTGCCAATCTACCTCTACCAAATCCCATCAAATGGGACTAACCTGGCATACTTATTTTTTAGCCAATGCTACCAGTAAGACTCTCTGTGTTGATGTGACAGGAGGGAGAAAAGCCGGATCGAATTTTAAGTTCAAACTTAAATTTTACTGGGAAACTTAGTCCTTATGCGAGCAATGGAAACACTGAAGTTTATATCAATGGCAGAGAAATTACAAAACTTGAACTGAGAGTTCTAAAGGTCAGTACTCCGGATTCTTTTACTTTTCGAAATTGAAGGATGAGTCTTACAGTGGGGACGTTACACATGCCCACAATGTATTTCAGTACAGGTGTGTTGACAGATCATTGTATTTGAGGTTGCCATGTCATGTGCCTTGAATTCATGTTGTGTGCTGATCCCCATTGTCAGGTTCAGTTCCCTTGTTATACTCCCACTTTCCCTCTGGAGAGAACACCTCACTGTCACATTATAACTTGCCCCCTTTTTGCTTGTCTATATCACTAGCTTAAGTATGTAGTCTATGTGAACTCAACTCTAACCTACATGTATCATGTTTCAGCTAGCAAATGTGCAGTGTCCACGTGACACTCATTTTTGGGTGTATGATGATGGTCGTTATGAGGAGGAAGGTCAGAACAATATCAGGGGGAACATTTGGGAGAAGGCATGTATTTAGCCTTTTAGTTGAATATATTTCAGAGACTATTTTAGTGTGGAAATCCTAAGAATTAAAGCTTCCTCTCTGTTACACAGGCTTCAACACGACTTGTTTGCATGTTGTTCTCTTTGCCTGTACCCCGTGGTCAGCCTTATAGTAATCGACAAAGGGATGAGCCTAGCAATTATACTGCCGTTTCAAATTATTTAGAACAAAAAAAAATACATAAACTTCTTCTACTTGGCCTTCAGAGCTCTGGAACCAGCACTGTTTTCAAGCAGGTACTGCTATTTTGTGTGTACTTCAAATGGGCTGTGGTTGTTTTCATAAGTGGTTGTAGTATATTGCAGGTAGTGCATGTGGATTTTAGATGTGAATTGGTCAGAGGAAATGTTTATCCTACAGATAAATTTAAGCTCTGCTTTGCTTTTTATCCATATTCTCCTTATTTGAAAATATGTTCTTGTGTCTACTTGTGTCTACTTGTGTGCTCTCAATGTGTTTTTAATGTACCATGATAGTTTGATGTGCCTTTGTATGACAGTTTTCTTATTTGAAAATATGCAGTGGACATGGAAGATAATAATGGACTATGATGGTGGACCAAGTTTCTATTCTAAAATAATTTCACAAAGAGGCAGTTAAAACCTTATTTCTGGAGTTTTTCTATTATTTTATTTTTATAGGTTGTTTACCATAATATTCAACCACTGATATGTGTATAATCAATTGTTTGCAAAGTTCAGATGGTGTAAGTACCTCCAGATTCATAACTCACGAAACCCAACACAAATTGAGTTATGTTTTAGGTAATACATATAATCAAGCTAGAATGGATCCTTTTGACTACTCTATTTATGGAAATAAAAGTAAGAAGCAATTTTTAGCTGGAAGAGTGGCCTTCTTGGCCTAACCACCACACGCCTATATATAGTGACTCCAAGCAATCAATCTCCTCCTTTGGCTAGGACACTTTGGTTCATCACATCCAAACCTCCATTACTGCCACTCTCTCCTCCAAAGGCCACTCTCACCCAACACAGCTTTGGTGGTCTAGAGTCACTTACGTGCCTACCATACTTTTTAGAAGGCTCCCTCTATCACCTGATTCACTTCCTGCATTCCATAGAAACCAAGTAGACAAAAGGCACAAAATGAGAATAGCAAAAGATAAAAACTCTAACCTACATGAAAACAAAGATCAATGAGGTAGCCATGCTGCAACTCTAGAAGCATTGATGCTGCCCCTTTTTTTGAAATCATCTACTTGGTCATTATTTGGTCATTACTGATATTCCTTGGATACTCACGGATATGTATTGAATACTTATTAAAAGTATCGGATACTTAATTAATTTTTCATTAATTTTGAAATATCAGATACTCTAAGTCACATATTACTTGTTTTATGCAATTAGAATTGTAGCATTTCTTGCATAGTATTATAATATAATATAATTGTAAGAATAAATATTAGAATATTTTTCTAATACTTTGTTTAGTTCTTTGTTCTTTGATAAGAAGAATATAGTGAGTTAAATAATAGAATTTGTCAAATTGATGTATCCTAATTGTTTTATGCATGTCCCCTATATAACAGTAGTAAAATTAAATATCAATAAATAAATAAGCAAGTAAACTTGAATACAACATTTTTCATTAGTGCCAAACAGAATAGCACAAGGACAAGTTGTGGATTGCTCTAGTATTGTAAATTTGTAATATTAACATATTAGATTTGATATTGAAATGAAACATTTGCAAGACCTATTGAAAATTTAAAAGGTAAACATAGTTTAAATTAATACCTAATTCTTAAAGGTTAGTGTTTTGCATTATAAAATTACATTGTGGTTTATCAGCATTCTTTAGCTTATGTGTAACTCACTACTAATAAAATTAGAGAAATATTTTCACAAACGTATCCTAACTATACCCGTATCCTATTTTTTTAATGTTTTGTCGTATCGCCGTATCCGTATCTTATCATATTCGTATCTCATATTTGTATTCATGCTTCCTAGTATTTGATCAACCGGTGATGTGCAACTTTTATGTAAATATTGATTGTGTTCATCAAGGGTCAAAAGACTTCCTTCTCACCATCCTATGATGGTAAACTGTCATTAAAGTGTTCAACCTCATGGGGAGAACTTGTGTTTACTATTGATATATTTCTCTTAGCCTCCTTGAAGCTAGATCACAACAATAATTGTGTAGTGCTTTCTGGTCTAGATGCTAATTCAAAAGCGTATGGGACAAGGACAATAAGTATGTGTAGATAGAAACTAAGCATAACTGTACAAGGCTTACTCTTTTACAAGTGAAAGTAGGCTTTTATCACCCATTAAGATGTTTGGGCGCATCTTTTATCACAAAATAGAAAATCTGGTACCACGGGCTACCTTTTGAGAGAAGGTTGAGGTATTAAGTCATTCTTCCTAATCACCATAACTAAAGAGTATCAACAAAGCACAACTATTCAAGGGTAAGTCTTCTACCAAGTGGAAGTCAACTTTCTTCCACCCATGAAGGCCTTGGAATACTTTATCAATCACAAAAATTGAGGGCTTCATGATTATATTCCAAGGGGAACACAAAGTAATTAATTGTCCATTAATTTCTCCCATGACTCAAAGGTAGAATTATCTTGCACACAGTAAGCTCTAACACATTACCACTAGCAATGTCATTTTGACTCATGTTCACCTTTATACTTTAGCCCAATATTTCTTAAATTAGCTTAAGAATAAGTTTTAGAATGATACTCAACTCTAATTTAATGTCATTCACTATGAAAGTGAGAAACTTGAAGAAACTTGGTTCCTAATATCGCCCCTTAAAAACATTTAGAAATGTTTTCTAAGCAAATCCATCATGTCCTTGTAAGAACAGACACAAGGTTCACACTATCGTACTCTGGATGCTTGAAACCAATCTCTTGTTCCCCAATCCATGAGAATGGTTTTTGGATAGACATTCCAATCAATGAGAATAGTGAATGACTAACTCTCCCCCCAACACACAAAAAAAGGACTTCTCATAAACAATGGGTACAACAGCTTGACTCACCTTCTGTCTAGAATTAAAAAATCAAGGAAATTCCAATTTCAAATGGTTGTAAGCCTTAAATGTTATATAAACATGACACTTGCCTTTGGAGCCTTCATCCGTTGATTTTTTAAATAAAAAAATGTTACAAAAACAAAAAGCACATTCAGATTACAAAAAGAAGGTTTGCCTTATTGATTCAAACTATTGCTTACATTGAACTTAGGCAAGTGCTTTTGTTTTGCAATATAAAGTTAATTTATCTAAATGGAGAAAAACTCTATGCTAATGCATTTTACTTTTTTTGTACACATGCTCCAAAACGTGGTAAGCTCTTCTTCCAAAAGACTACATTTAGTGATTCAAAACTCTATGCTAATGCATTTTACTTTTTTTGTACACATGCTCCAAAACGTGGTAAGCTCTTCTTCCAAAAGACTACATTTAGTGATTCAAAGCAAGCTATATTTTTTTTAAAAACTATTTACTTGTTGTTTCCTTATGAGGAAAAAAATCACATATAATAAACTAAAATTTAGAAAGAATGGAATTTTGGGAAGAGTTGATCAAAAAGGGCCCATAAAGCATCAATAGCTCAAGTCGTATAAGGACATAGAAATGTTTTTTTATATAATTAATTTTGTTCAAAAGTGGACATAACTGAATTTTAATGAATAACATTTAATTGGATGTTTAGCGTTAATAGAAAATTAGTCTCACATTAAGAAGTATCTTAATTTGAGCTATACAAGATGGCCCATATTGTATACATCTACGGTGTGAGGTGTTTCATATTTTCTGTTTCCTCAGTATATGTTCTCATTAATATTTAATTTAAGCGTCTGTTTATTTTGCTTAAGTCATGCGTTGAGGATTGCATCAATATGTGTCAAAGTTTTTAATCTAAAAACTCAATACATATGGTACTATATTGTAACATTCCGTCCCACATCGCTTATGTAGAAAAATTTTCTGAGGTATATAAGTGAGTCTACATCCTTTTCTAGTAACGACGTGTTTAAAGCCGTGAGGGCCAAGCCCGAAGCTGCAATATGGTTACGGTGTGGGATGGGGAACATTACAATTCTGTCGAGCCACTGTAACAATATAGCAGCCTTGGGCTTTGGCTTCCACCACTTAAAACGTGTCGATACTGGAAAAGGTTGTAGACTCACTTATAAGTTATATACCTCAAAAACTTTTCCTACCTAAGCGATGTAGGATGATAAATTACATATGTTAAGTTCTTTCTAATACTTGTTCCTGTAGTATGTTGGCAGATGTTGTTTCCAAAGATTTGTAATGATTCCTTCATGACAAATTTTGTTTAGATTGTCTGTGTCATTTTTTAGATCTGGAATTTTGGTGGTTTTCTCACCAACATTGATGCAACTGCCTGATGCTTTAAAACATAATAGGAAGGGAACCTTATGATATTGTTTTCCTTGAAGAACATCTCTTCCCTCCATCCCTTCCCAACACCCCCACTCCAAATCTCTTCTCCTCCCTTGTCGTCCTAACTTGTGTTTGTATGGTTGGTGCCAATGATGTTAGAGGAAGCCATCTCTTACAGCCATAGTCTTCAATTTGAATGTAGTATTTTATCCCCCAACTTTAATTGTTGTTCCCTTGGTAATCTGAGCAAGTGAGGTATAAGAGGTACCATTAAGGATGCTGAGGGAAATGTGATTCTTTTGTACTTCAAGTCAAGACCTCATGCTCTATTTATGCCTTCATAGCTCTCTTTGAATCGCTTTGGGAGGTACTTCTGTCTCATCATGGCATGATTGGAGGTGACCGTAATCACGTGATGGGGTGGGTGAAAAACCAAACTCCTATTACTTTCAAGTTTCCAAATTTAGTGTGGAAGATCTTGGATCTTAAATGCTTCATTTTAGGTGTTTCTACTTGGGTAACTACTACTGCAGATAAAGAGACAGACAGATTGGCTTAGGGAGAGTTAACTACTCTTGAACCTCTGTGTCTTATTGGTCATATTTATCCCCTTTGAAGTTTGTTGTAGTCTTTGTGGACGTTGGGACTGCAATGTGGTTGTATTGTCATTTTGTGCAGATAAAGGATTTCTCATCCTTCTGTTCACTATACTCTTTTTCTCCCTTTAATGACACCCTGATTTTCTAATAATTAGAGCATTATCATAAAAACATATACACTAATGGCAGATTCAGAAATTATTTGCACATTTAAAGCACCTTTCACATATTTTTTTTCTCTGTTACTATGTATAATATGGACATTAAATTCAGATGATGTTAAAAGAGTTCACTACAGCCTGCTTATACCACTCATCAAAAATTATGTATCATTTAAAATATTTATTCACCACACGTGATCATTGATGACAAGCACAACAATAAGGTTTTCCCCTATAGACTTTCAAATTTTAATTATCACTGCCTACTAGATTTCTATACTCAATAATTTTATTTTATAAAATCCAAAATATGATTTTTTTTTAAAAAATTTTATTAATAAGTAAAGCCAAAGTATATTTAGAGGAAAAAATGTAACAGAGAAAATCATGTATGAAATAGAAAATATGCATAATGGCCCAACTAGGCCCTTTTCAGCCTTTATAGTAATTTTTTGGTTCACTCTTTGGATGTTTTTTTGCTGTCTTTCTTCTTCTTATGATATGTCTAAACCAGCTGGCTACGTGCCAATCTTTCCACCACTAGGTTTGTTATGGTCTAGAGTAGAACTCAACCCTAAAAGCTAGTTGTTGAAGTGAGGGTGGCCTCATGCTTATATACTTCACATTACTTTCGTAGATGATTTGGAGCTTCACTTTCACACCCTCCCCCACATGCAGGTTTTCACTTGGTAGCACATGCCACGTGCAGGCCAAAGTCACGCACCCTACCTATCCTTAGGTACTCCAGCTCTGATACCATATGTTACACAATCTTGGATAGTAGAACTTAACCTCAAAAGATAGTTGTTAAGGTGAAGGTGTCCTCACGCTTATATACCACTGATTACAGATTTTGTTTCATAACTTCTGTTGAAAGTAAAAATATCCTCTCTTTTTTTGTGCAAATAAAAATGCATTTTTTATTGAAGGATTGATTGACTTGTCAGTAGATGATTCAAACATTGGTTGTGCTTTGCTTTTCATTGCAATGTCTCTCCTTGGCCTTTAGTTACCCTTCGTCTTTGGTGAAAACTATAATGCTCTTGTAACCCTAATGCAAGGGGTTGGTAATGTTGTGTTGACATGTTAGAAAGTTACCAGCAAGGCATGGATGTTATTCTGTCTCTCGGCACAATGTCCACAAATTACCATGATCAGAATATACGTGTCCGGGCTATGATTAATGTGGTTATGGTATGATTTTGTTATGCTTCTTGAACTGAGTTTAATTAGTCAAGAAACTAACCTTTGGGGTGAAGAACAAAGCTGAACACAACATTAATTGATTGGAAATATGGTCTATTATGTTGGTTTCTCTATGAAGCTTGGTTTGATCCCTGTTTTGAAGCTTGGTTATGGTTTATCTGTTACAATGCTTTACTGGTGTTTGTACTCATTTTATTTTGTTCTCTATGCATCATGGAACAGGCCAAGTTGATGTATGGGAACAAGTTTACTGCAGAAGAATTGCAGGATATTAAGCTTATGATTCAAAGCAATATGTACAAATATCTCAGCATACTGCTTGATGGACGGGAGCGCTTTGAAGAGGAAGCCACATCAAAGATGAAAGCTCTAGGTTTTCATGACCAAACTACTGAAGCAGGTAGATTAGATAAAGTCAACAATCTATTCGCATGTTTGTGTGGCCAGGTCATCATTTTCCACTAAGCATACTTCTCCCCTTCTCATGAATGATTCATCGCTCACTTGATATCATACAATGCATTGATATCATACAATGCAGCTGCCTATTCTGCATGGTTTCCTACTACTCATCATGAGGCAGTAAGAAGCTCTAATATTGATGCTAAAAAAGTAACAGCTCGAGTTGAGCTCAATTAGGACTCTTTCAAACTTTGTAAACAAATGAGCTCAAGCCATATTTTGAAACTCATTAAACAATTAAGCTAAGCCCAAGCTAACCATGGCTCAACTCAAATATGTTCGCGAGCCAAGGCTATACAAGTACAAAAATTTAGGGTCTCACCCTTTTATTTTAACTTGTGTAACCTTATTGACTTTACGTTGCCTTGCAATACAGAATATTTATAGAGCATGAGATGCCTTATACATCCTTATTTGTCGATGTGGGACAGAAGTCATTTATAGGGGATAGAATCTGCACCCAGAACTGAACTGGACTTAAGCGTACGATTAATTGTTAAGTGAAGTTTAGCGCCCAATTGGTCATCTTGGTTAATTTTGTTGTAGTATTCTAGTTGTTCATAACAATATGAAGAACCAAGATCCTGTCACATTGATAAGGAATTTGTGAGAAAACAGTTAGAGAGAGAGCAAGAAGCAGAAGAATAGAGGCTTGAGAGAGGAACGAAGCTGGGAATTAAACTCACCCCTTTATTCAATAGTTACCAGGCTATTTATTAGCCAAGTCAGAACACTAACTACAAAAGATAATGCAAAAAGATGTGGTAGATCGTGGAAGAAGTGGTTACAATCATGTGCTGAAAATAATGAAAACAAACTACCACTAATGAAACCTGTGCTGACAGTAATGAAAACAAACTATTACTAAGCCTATTTCTAAGGCAGTATATTCTCTAAGTCCACTTCCACCTATGCATGAGATCATGGGTGTAAGCATGGGATAATGGGTGATGTTTGTGGATAATGGGTGTGCACGTATCATTCCCTACCTCTACAATTATCCTTGGCTGCAAGGGTGAAATTGGGCCATGGCTTGGTAGTATGTAGGTGGGTCGTCCTCTGTAGTAAGGGCGGTTATAGGTGGCTCGGTTTGATCTTCGGCGGCCAAGACATCTTCGATCATGAAGAGTTGGGGTGTGGTACAACGGTGGCCGGGCTCGTATTTCTCATCACAATAGTAGCATAGGCCCTTTTCTCTACGGATTCGAGCCTCGGGGGCTATAATTTTCTTGAACGTGTGGGTTTGAGGAGCAGATGGATGTGGGTTCGGTTTTTGGGTAGGGGGTGGACCAAGGAGGCTAGCTGTTGTGGCGTTGGCGGGGTTATGGTTTGGAGGAGTGTTGGTGGCGACAATTGGTTGGGAGAAGATGTTGGTTTTCTTTTGTAAGGTATTGCGTTCCTCGACAAGTCGGGCCACGCCAATGGTTTCGGATAGGGTTCGGGGCTTCTTGAGCTTAACGTCCAAGCGAACGTCATCTTTGAGTTCGGCGATAAAACATCCAATCACATGACTATCTGGTAGAGCATCAATGCGTTGGGAGAGTCTTTCGAACTCTTCTTGGTACGCAGCCACAGTGGTGGTATGTTTCAACCGAGTGAGAGCTTCGGAAGGGTCATTGAAGTCGGTGGGTCCGAAACGGCGAAGCAAAGCTGTAGTGAATTCGCCCCAATCGACGGGCCCTTTAAACTTGGTGAACCATCGGTGCCATTGTAAGGCAATTCCTTCGAGATGAAAAGAGGCAAGTTGGACTCGTTGGCCCGGCACAATATTTTGATATTCAAAGTATTGTTCGGCTCGATATATCCACCCGATGGGATCGTCCCTGTGAATTTTGGGAAACTGAGCTTCAGGTTGGTAGCTGGTTTGCTTGGTTCCGGGTTAAGGCGAGGGTTTGAGCTGGAGCTGAATGGGTTGATATTGGTAATATCATAGTCGGGTTCGGTTGGCGGGGAAAGTTGCAAGGTTTGTAACTTGGCAAGGATTAATTGAAGGGTGTTATGAATTTGATCGAAATTTGACTCATGACGGGCCAAAATGTCACTTACTTCATTGTGGAATTAGGTGTTGGTTTTGCCATGGGTATCCATGGAACGTGGCTCTGATACCACTGATAAGGAATTTGTGAGAAAACAGTTAGAGAGAGAGCAAGAAGCAGAAGAATAGAGGCTTGAGAGAGGACGAAGCTGGGAATTAAACTCACCCCTTTATTCAATAGTTACCAGGCTATTTATTAGCCAAGTCAGAACACTAACTACAAAAGATAATGCAAAAAGATGTGGTTGATCGTGGAAGAAGTGATTACAATCATGTGCTGAAAATAATGAAAACAAACTACCACTAATGAAACTTGTGCTGACAGTAATGAAAACAAACTATTACTAAGCCTATTTCTAAGGCAGTATATTCTCTAAGTCCACTTCCACCTATGCATGAGATCATGAGTGTAAGCATGGGATAATGGGTGATGTTTGTGGATAATGGGTGTGCACGTATCACACATTTGGAAAAAATAAACCAATAACTCAACTTTATGATCATAACAACAAATTAATAATAAGTAATAATAATAGGAAACCTCTAAGGTGTCTACTATAGTTTATGAACATTTGTGATCTTATTTATGAATCGCGTTAGTGCTTAGTTATTAGATTTTGTGGTGATCAAATTTGTGGTTGTCATGGTTATGATGTTTTGTGGCGGTTGATTATCAGACTTTGTGGTGTTTTTTGTTATGAACCAAAGTGGCCTTGGTTATGAGACTTTTTGATGTTTTGTTATGAATTGAAATGTCCTTAGCTGTGAGGTTTTATGGTATTTTTGTTACGAACTAATTTGGTTTTATTAGAACTCAAATTGGTAGAAGTTATGAACCATTACGGTTAAAATTTTAAGTACAATTATATGTCAAAGAATCCTTATCTTTTGATGGGTCTATACATACATAAATTTATATATCTTCATTAACATTAGGATCATCAGACGATGATCAGCACCTTTCATAAATATATATATGGTCTTATACACAATTTGGTTTAGAGTAAAGAAGGAATAAACTAATGCACCTATACAAAAGTAATGGGAACAAAGTATTGCCACCAGCAAGTAAATAAATAAAAAACAAAGTAATTCACCTATGCAATGTCAGTGATTTCAACTTGTAAATTTTACTCCCACATTGACTGCTGTACGCATTCAATGGATTCAAGGCATCTATTTAAGTGCATAGCCCAAGGGAACCTTAGACTACCATTGAACAGTAGCGCTCAGCAGCAAAATAAACTATGAGTAATGCTAGAGACACCAAAAAATTTACCAACATTTCTACCGAATGTCTCACATGGGTCTGGGTCTTGTGAGACATTTGGTAGAAATGTTGCGGGTCCTAGACCCATGTGAGACATTTGATAGAAATGTTGGTAAATTTTTTGGTGTCCCTAGCATTTGTCATAAACTATATATAGCCGAGCTGAGCTCGAGCTTTCTTTAAATCCAACTAGTCGAGCTTGAGTTGGGTTTTTTTGGCTCGATATGAACTCGTGCTGAGCTCAAGCTCTCCTATAATTGACCGGGCCAAGCTTGAACATGTAAAACTTGACTTGGCTCGGCTCATTTGTAGCCCTATCTGGGCATGGGGATGCACATATTTTCTAATCTCAGTTCTACATCTACTTAGTGTTGTTGATAATTCCATATGAGAAATGTGTGATGGTAAATGAAATTACTGGATGCACTGTAGCAGTTTCTGAAAATTGTACTTGAATCTTGTCACAGGTGGACAGGTTGATTCCAGTGGGAATAGTCAATGCATCTATTCCATTAACCCTAAGTTAAAGCATTTCTCTGATTGGCTCCTAGACATTATAGCCACTGGAGATTTGGATGCATTTTTCCCTGCAGCAACACGTGAGTATGCTCCACTAGTTGAAGAGATTTGGAAGGATTCTGCTATACAGGAAACATATAGGAGAAAAAATGAGCTTCATTTCCTTCCTGATGTTGCTGAGTACTTCTTGAGCCGGGTATGCCATTGACTTTAGTTGATTATCTTATCTGATGTTTACCTATTCAGGCACATTGTTGAACTAAAAAATCTTTCTTCATCCATGTTTACTGTTTCTGGTTTCCTCTTTCTTTCTAAATCATAAATACACAAGATTTCTTGGTAGACGTTGAATCTCAAGATGATAGATCGTTTGGTTTTCCTTTTCAAGGCAGTTTCATTTTTTCTTCTGACCTTTTATTCAATTTCTTAAACTTGGTTTAAGGTTTGATTTGTCAAGACCAAGTAATATCTGCTAAATATAGTATTTACTAAAGTACTATGTATATTGTCAAATAATTATTAAATATTGCTTCGATTAAAATATTTCTTCGATTAAATACTAAAGTTTTGAATGCTGTATAATGTATCATTTATATTCACTTTTTATTAGTAATAACTTGAGTGCTTGCTAATAAATAACTTAGCAAGTAGCAATTGCTAGTTTATGCAATATTTAGTAAAACTGCTGGATATATATATTCTGTAAACGTATAATGAAATTTATATCTAGTAGATCTTGGTTAGCCTGTCAAATCTAATTTTAATCCAAGCTAAAAAAATTGACAGCATTCAAAAAATCCAAACTTGCATGAAAAGGGTAACCTTTCATAATTGAGATTCAGGGTCTACCTTGTAGGTTTGTGGTTTAGGAAGTCAGAAGAGGAGTTTTGGAGGCTTTAAAGTTAAAAGATCAATAAATAAAATTTTGACAAAAGTCTCTAAAAATTCATTGGTTTGAACATCCGCAATGAGGCTGTTCTATGTTTAGCCTCATTTGGAAAGTTGGCTATTTTAGTAGGCTAAAATATTTGTATTTGGAAAGAGGGTTGGATTTTTTTATAGTTGGATGTGATGTTTGTGAGAGAAAAAGTGAAATGATTATAGGTTTGATGTGACATTTTTTCTTATTGGCTATCTTAGCCTATTTTGTTTTTTTGTGGATTTTAGCCAAAAACAGCCAAACCTTCCCTTCCCAAACACCCCCTTTATTAAATTATTAGGTTCTGAATACAAGACAATATGCTTTATTGGGCTAACACAAATTCACAGATGAAGTTTTGCTTTTGTTTTTCATTTTTTAGTTGTTTTCACCTTTAAACATAAAAAGCAGTTCTTGAAGTGGAATAGCCAACAATGTTTCATTGTTAAAATTTAAGAACTATCCTCAAATCTTTTAGATTTTTTGTTCACAAAGATGGTATAAGAAGGTGAAAATAAGTCAGAAGAGTTGTTATCTGTTTAAAAACTTGAAAAATAAAAGGCTCTTAACAATTCATTCAACTAACAATTATCTCATTGCCATTTTGTCACATATAGATTTAGGAATCCACAGCCATTTCATTGGCCTCTCCTCCAATTTACGTACTGGCTTATATAAATTAAAAGCCCATACTCTTGGATGAATACTTAATCACGTCCTTTCTTGTTAGGCTGTGGAAGTGTCAAGCAATGAATATGAGCCTTCAGAGCGAGACATACTATATGCAGAAGGGGTCACCCAAGGGAATGGTTTGGCTTTCATGGAGTTCTCCTTAGATGATCGTAGCCCAATGTCTATGACCTACACAGACAATCTGGATGCTCCACCCCCACCTCTAACTAGGTAATTGTTTCTTCCTGTACTGTTATGTTAGTCACATATGTACTTTTAAGGCAGAATTATTGATATCCACTACTCTTTTAGCTGCTGAGAAATATTTACCACTCTGATTGTAGAATGTAGGCTTGGAAACTTCATGTCAATTGAAAATTGTTAGTCGATATCACTTGTCAAATGGGTGGTAATTGAATCATTACTGTTGATGTTGATAGAAAGCACAATTCCCATTTTGACTATTCAATGAGAGTTGATTAGTTTCTTTCTAACATTTGTTTCTTCAGTTAGGAATGAGATATCATTATTTTCAATTTTAATGTGTTCACTTTTTGTGGTTGATATTCCACGACTTTAGGATTTGTTGATTTTTAATGTTTTCACATGGGCTGTTATATATTGGAAACACATTAATGCGGTCAAATCAGGGAAGATGGTTGTGGAAGATCTAATAAATCTTTGCACATTATATGATCCCCTAACCCAATCCAGCAGAAAAGCAAAAGTAAAAAAGAGCTATATTGGATGATAGCAAATACATGTTAGTATGTTACCATGATTCATGACGTATTTTCCTTTCCCTTTTGGCCTAGCAATTCAATAGTTGTTAATCTACTGTGTATAATTTTGTTTTCTAGATACCAACTTATTAGAGTAAATGCTAAGGGTATGAACGAGGGCTGCAAGTGGGTGGAAATGTTTGAAGACGTGCGTGTAGTAGTCTTCTGTGTTGCATTGAGCGACTACAATCAGCTGTGGCTTGCCCCAGAAAACAGTGGCAGTGGATCCCTGCTTCAAAACAAGATGATTCAAAGCAAAGAGCTCTTCGAAGCAATGGTTGGACATCCCAGTTTTAAGAACACCCCTTTCGTGTTGATCTTAAACAAGTACGATCTCTTTGAGGAAAAAGTCAATCACATACCTTTAAGCACTTGCGAGTGGTTTACCGATTTCTGTCCAGTACGACCCCAGTACAATAACAACCAGTCACTGGCCCACCAGGCTTACTACTACATTGCGGTGAAGTTTAAAGACTTGTATGCTTCGCTCACAGGTCGAAAGCTTTTCGTGTGGCAAGCAAGGGCAAGAGACCGAGTCACCATTGATGAGGCATTCAAGTATATAAGGGAGGTTCTCAAGTGGGATGAAGAGAAGGAAGAGAACTACTATGGTATGCAAGAGGATTCGTTCTACAGTACAACTGATCTGAGCTCTTCGCCGTTTGTCAGGCAAGAGTGAAACAATTTCAAAATATTTGAATGTATTTGCTGCTGTGTAGATAGAGAAGGAAAAAGGAAGTTCAAATTGAAATAAGTTTACATTTTAAAATTTTTTCTTTTTGAAACATAGAATTCAATGCATCGGTTGGGGGTTGTTTGAAGTTGAATCATTTTTTTTCCCGGAATTTTGTCACTCTTGCCATGTAAGTGTATATTACACCTCTTTGCGGATTGATGATGCAGAAGAATGGTTTTGTGCTCTTTCTTACGCTTTTAAATGTCATTGAACATTTTTTGTTATCAAATAGGGATTTCAGGAGATATTGGAGTGTATGGTCCAATAGTCTAAAGTGGGAGATTAAGGGTTCGACTTGATGGAACAACGATGGCTTTTTAGTTGTAAATTAACTATACTAATATACTAATTTTATCTCAAAAAAAAAAAAAATCAATTGTGGGAATATATATGCAAGAAATGGCTTGTAAACTCATATATCTCATTGGATTATTCAGAAACAATCCAAAAATTAAGTGGAAAATTTTATGGGTTTGTTTTGACTCTTTATACAGCCTTTGATAGAGCCGTGTGGAGAAGAAGGATTCATGTAGCCGATTTACTCTCGCGAGTATGAAGTTTTTTTATTTTTTTTATTTTTTATTTTATTTGGTTCAAGTTTTTGAAAATAGTTTTATAAGTTTTTAATTCGTATTTTTGTATTTTTATTGATTTTTAAAAATATTTTAATTAATTTTTTTTTAGATTCATTTAATTTTAATATATTTAAAAAATATAAAATTTATATAAAAATCTTGTAAAAATTCATTGAATATAACAAAATACAAAAATTTTCATTTTTTTTTTGATATTTTTGATATTTGGTGATTTTTTTAAAGTTTTTTTTTTATAAATATTATTTTTTTAAAGTATATCTAAATTAGATATATCTACTAAAAATAAAAATAAAAATAAAATTTTTTTTCAGAAAAACAATTAAACAATGAATTGGCTGCATGAATTTTTTTTTTTAATTTTTAAATTTGATTTTTTTTCCAGACAATTGGTTGTTTCTCGTCACTTTAATTCACATTTTTTTAATTTTTTTTTATTTGAAAAAAAAATACTTTTTTAAAATTACATTAATAAGCACAAAAAATTCGTACTTCTATCTCTCTCTCTCTCTCTCGCTCTCCCTCCCAACTGCGACTGAAAATGGAGAACAAGGAAGAAGCAGAGCTCTCACCACCACCACCACTACCACCATTACCACCACCTCAAAACCCTAATACAGAACTATCAACAACAGCAAAATCACCGCCGCCGTCGCCGCAACACCGCCACCGTGCACCACCAAAACGCTTCATAAAAAACCAAATCCCAGACTCAATTACCAACAACGCCGCCCTCAACGCCGCCATAGCTCTCCTACCTGCAAACTACAACTTCGAGGTCCACAAATCTATCTACCGAGTCCTCTCCACAAACTCCAAGCGCATCGCTCTCCAGTTCCCCGAAGGCCTCCTCATGTACTCCCTCGTCCTTTCCGACATCTTCACTTCCTTCGCCGCCGTCGAATCCTGCTTCATCCTCGGCGACGTCACCTACGGCGCTTGCTGCGTCGACGACCTCTCCGCCGCCGCACTCTCCGCCGACCTCCTCATTCACTACGGCCACAGCTGCCTCGTCCCCATTGACAACACTTCGATCCCTTGCCTCTATGTCTTCGTCGATATCAAAATCGATGTGAATCGCTTGATCGAAACAATCAAGCTTAATTTCGATTCGTTTATCCACAAACAGATCGTTTTGGCCGGGACGATTCAGTTCGCGAATGCGATTCGGGCCGCGAAGCCTGAATTGGAAACCCTAGGGTTTAGGGTTTTGGTGCCGCAGTCGAAGCCGTTGTCGGCTGGGGAAGTTCTGGGTTGTACTGCGCCGAGTATTGTGAAAAAAACTACTGGTTTTAATGATGATGAGATTGTGATTGTTTTTGTGGCTGATGGGAGGTTTCATTTGGAAGCTTTCATGATTGCAAACCCTAAAATTAGGGCTTTTCGGTACGATCCGTATATTGGGTCTTTGTTTTTGGAAGAGTATGATCATAAGGGTATGAAGGAATCGAGGAGGAATGCGATTGTGAAGGCGAGGGAGGCGAGGAATTGGGGGATTGTGATGGGGACTCTTGGGAGGCAAGGGAATCCGAGGATTCTCGATAGGTTGGTGAAGAAGATGAGGGAAAAGGGTTTGGCTTGGACTGTTGTGTTGATGTCGGAGTTATCGCCAATGAGGATTGCCTTGTTTGGGGACTCGGTTGATGCTTGGATTCAGATTGCTTGTCCTCGGCTATCAATTGATTGGGGTGATGCTTTTGCAAAGCCACTTTTGACTCCATTTGAGGCAGAGATTTGCCTTGGTGATTTACCTGGTTGGTGGGAGAGAAAGCCAGTGGAGGATTTGAATTCATGTTGCAATGATGGTTTGGATTGTTCGAAGAACGAATCGTGTTGTGTGGGTAACAATGGGGATATAAAAGATAAGGAAGGGGATGCTGTGGATTATCCAATGGACTATTATGCTCAGGATGGAGGGGAATGGAATTCGTGTTACTCGAAGAAGCAATCTCAGCCTACACGAAGAAATCGTATTATTTCTTCTAATGGTAGTGCCTAACATGCTTTTGGGAATGAGTTCACATTCAAAGATGCCATCTTGGACTATAATCTGCTGAAGATAAGAGTGCAATCGAAGCGTACTAGTGAGTGTTTGAACTCTCCTTGCATCTTTGAGTTAGTATGGTGAGGTTTTTTTGCCACCTCCACTGTTAATTTAATCTTCATTTTTCATTTTTGTATTGTAGTGTAGGAAATACACACAAGACTCGTGCAATCTGTATTTTTCTTCCTGGTCTTTTGAATTTTGATTTTTTTAAAATATCTATTTCATTAATTTAAAGATCAAGACATCTTTTCTCTTGGGATATCAGGTTGATTTAATGTGATAGATATAGTAGTTGCCGAAACTATCATTTATTTGCAGAATGAAACTGCCTCTGTGACATTAAACAGGTTTCTTTATAGGCCTAAAGTTTTACGCAAGCTCAAGGAATGCGACCGTTGAATTTGTATGTGTAAGTTCAAATAGGATGAACAACACCTAAGTTGTCCATCTTTTCTCTTAAGAAAGAAATGAAAAGAGAAGAAAATGACATTCTATGCATGGTCATTATTGCACTTGAAGCATGCAGCAGATGGTAAAGAACATCATGGGGGAAAGACATTATTATAAGATAGAAGTAGTGCATTAATATTATGATTTAAACAATGGAATGGTATTTCTCTAGTTTCATATATACATACAAATTTTAAAAACTGATATATTTGTTTATGGTAGTTTTAAATCCCCATGCCCCATCACTTCCATGTTATCCTACTAGTAGAGGATATGCCCTCGGACATTATCATGCCATATTGTAAGAAATCTAACTTTACAATAAATGTAGAGAGAGAGCGAGAGCGAGAGCAATGGGTTCTTTCAGAACACAGTAGTAAAATACGAGTTATAGGATCTGAAGAAAATTTCTTGGTTCTCAATTCTTCTTCCTTTTTTTTTTCCCCTCACTTTCTTCATCTTTATCTATTTTATTTTTCTGAAATCTTTTTCATGCTTCATTTTGGATTAAGAAGCCAGAATTCTTGGAAATTACTCTGCATCTCGTGATGAAGAGATGCCAGTTTGTAATGAGTAACTCAACACCTCTCGGTGCCCTTGTTTGTAATGAATTTTCTTTTTCCTAGTTTCTTTTCTATGCAAAGATTTAAATATGTTTTCCTTTTCTTATATTCTTCGTCGTCTTTTTTTTTTTTGGATAAATTATAAGTGCTCCTGAAATTTGTTCAAAATACAAATTATTTTTGTAATTTTAAAAATTATATCATACCCCTCAAATTTTATAATTGCACAACAAATAATCTATTTTATTAATAATTAATTATTAAGTTAATTAATAATTTTTAATAATATATTTCAATTCACAATTATGAAAATTTTATTGTTTTATAATAAGAGGATAATTAAAATTTTCATTTTCTGTCAACTTTGTAAGATGACAAATTTGGACAGAGTTATTTGTAATTTCAAAATTATAAAAAAAAATTTGTACTTCAAACAAATTTAAAAAAATGTTCCTACTTTACTCTTTTTTATTACCCCTCTTCTATAATTCTCAGACTTTTGTGCTTTCAAAAATTGTAATATTGTGAAATTCATCTTTGCTGTTTGCTCTGCTTTCAACTTTAAGGCTTTAATCATCTAGACTATTTTATTATTTATTATTATTCTTCACTGTTTTGTATTTATATCCATATTCAAGAATTCCTTATTAAGATCAAAATATTTGATATAGCTTACCCCTAAAGCTTTGCCTTATCTAATGCCAAACGTGTGGACTCACGAAACAAAACCTCTATGATCCAAAAATAAGGATTACTAGAGTAAATAAACGTACACAAACAATGAAACAGAAATGCACTTACATCCACTAAATTGTGGATGACATCTAAATAACTCGAAGACAAGATTCCCACTACATTGTTCGATAACCATTGCAGAATTTAAATGGCCGTTTTTCAGTCAGACTTGCAGTTCCTCTAGGGATGCCCCCCAAAATGAAACAACTCCAAAACCAAAAGTACAAGAGGCTGCTCCTTTCAAAACATACTGCAAGAAAATGATTAAAAGCGATATGAAAGGAAGCGTACAAAGATGGCCCAAACAACTAGCACTCTTCCTTTGCTGCAGTTACCAGTTCTTTTGGGTGTCGAAAAGATTGTTACAGAACACAGGAATGAAGTCCATAAACAACGATTAAGATGCAACTAGATCAGGTGTTTCTGCCTCTACAGAGAGCAAAGCAGTGTGTACTTTGTCCACCCAATTGTCCAGACGATCACACAAAGATTTGATCTGTGGAACACCTAAAACTCTTGGTTGCACCCAGGAAACATGAACAGTTCCCTCAACTTGATCAATTATCCCTTCAATAAGATGAACCTGCAGAAAAACTCTCCAACAGTTTAAGCACTTCTGAATAGAAACACCTCTAAACCGTTTTAAAAAGGCCAGTAATAAATCATACATATGTTAAAAGAAGAGAATGAAACAATGAGGACAAGTGCCAGCTGAAGTTACCAAACAAAAAACTACAACTATCGAGAAAGAACATAAGACTTTTATTCTGACACTTCAATGACTATGTGGAAGGCACGAACAAGAACTATTATTTTGAACAAGAAATAATTGGAATGAGGCACTGAAAATGACTATTGTAATAAAAGATATGAACATCTCAGTTGGCAACAGTTTCAGTACCCAGTCCTATGGAACCGCAAATAGTTTTTTAAAAAATATAAATAAATAAAAGAGAGAAGAAAAAGAAAGAATGAGAATATAATGTAATAGATACCAGCAGCAATGATGAGTAGTTCTAGAGCAATTATAATTCTAATAGAGCGTTCTCATAACAGTTCAAAAACATTGTCCTTAGTCTTTTGTTTATACCCTTTAGCCAGTAATCTTATCTTACACTAAGGGTGCAACTCGGGCGGGTTCGGTCGAGTTGGGGGGTTGCCCAAGCCCAACCCGAATTGTGTTTAGCAGTGCCCAAGTCCGCCCAAGCCCGACCATCAACCCGAGCATGGCTACCCAAGCCCGGACCAAGCTTAATAATTCGAACTCGGGTTAGCCCAAATTGCCCGAATTACCCGAAATTCACAAGTCCATTACTCAGAAACTTTCAAATCTAGTGCATAAATGCTAGACATGCTATAATCAATAGATTTCAAATCTGGTGCATAACATGCTAGAAATGCTAGACCAACCACAAACACTGGTACATATAAAACTTCCACAGATTTGAAAGTTTCTTCAATTGCAATTAATTAATAAACTTTAACAGATTTAATTAATTGCAATTGAAGAAACTTTCAGATATGAAATAATCTAATGGTTCAAATAAAAGATGCTAATCCAAGGGTGAAAGACTAGCCAAAAAAAAATTAAGGACAACTATTTAATTTAATTTATACATATATTATATAATTTATATAATATATTAAATGCAATTCGGGTTTGGGTTGCTTGGGTTAGCCAGTGATTTTGCCCAGGCCCAGCCCGAATTACAATTCGAGCATAAAAAATTTGCCTAGGCCCGTCCAGATTATAAGATATTATTGCCCAAGCCCTAAAAAAACTCGGGCTGGGCACGGGTTGCTCGGGTTGAGCCCGCCCGAGTTGCACCCCTACCTTAAACTAGTCCATTACCCCGTCAACCTTAAGTTTCTTACAACTTATTCTCTTGGTCCTAGAAAGTGAAGTTAACTGGTTCCCAATTTTGGTCAGACATAATGGATTCAATCTAATTTTTAATCACTTTTTTCAAGAATGAGATATCCTAAAATGCTTAAAAATCTTTTAAAGCTGATTCCAAAAATTATTTCAAACAAATAAGATTTTACTGCAACACTAGAAAAATAATATCACCAATTGATGATGGTTTTCACAGTAGTGATTCAGAACATTTTATTGATCAAACTTCAACAGCATTGGGACTTACAGAAAGGCTTTTCATAAGAAGATACTCCACATCCTCTACAGTAAGCTTTGTGCGCTGCGCAATGATACTCAGTGGAATAGTTCTATCTTCTGATGGTCGACTGAAAGAAACCATATCTCAATTCAATTTGGTAACATGGAAGTAAAGCTGATAACGCTTTAGCAATAATGGCTATATAACATACCTGAATATGGTTTCCATCAAACAAAGAATGTTGATCTTTTCAAGTAGCTTTTTCTCATTCGCCACTAGTGCTGGTTGGGCACTTAGAGCAGCTCTATGCACATTGCACAATTCTTGATAATGAACTAAATCACCAGAGTTGAATGCTTCCAGAATATAGTAGAGCCATTCAACCTTTGTCCCCAGAAGGCTCCTTATCTGTGTTAGCAGAAGGATGTAATGACCAACAATAAGAAGTAATTTGTTAAAAATTTCAAAGCCAACAATGTTGCAGCTGGCTTCATGCCAGTCCCAACTCAGTGAAAATGCAAGAGTTTTCAGGAAAATGTCAGGCAAAGAACGTTAGGACCCTTATGTTATCATCAATACTAATTGGAATTTGGAATTTATGAACCTTTTTTCTTATTTTGGTCTTCCTACCCTTTATCTTGCTTTGTCTGTCATCCAACAGCATATCCTTAGGACAGATACCATTACGGATGTAATACATTCCTACCCGTTGTATAACCTAATTTTCTGAGAAGTTTCCAAAAAATATAATATTTAGCCATAATTGCTTTTTACTAGGTATCACCATATTATCAGTCATACCCAAGGTTTTAAAAAGCGGCCGCAGCCGTTACGTAACGGTTTTGGCAGTTATCGCCACCCGTTACAGCCGCTTTTGCAGTGTGATTGAGATTCACAGGTGTGTCGGCTGTAGCGGCTGCTGTAGCGGTCGTAACGGCGCCGTAACAGACGTAACGGCTTGTTATGCACCGTTACGTAACAGTTTCAAACTGTTTCTTTCGAAAAAACACACAAAAAAGTTGAAAATGGGAGAAGAGGGATAGAGAGAAGAGGGAAGATAAAGAGAGAAAATGGAGGAGTAAGAGATAGAGAGAGAAAAGAGAGAAGATGAAAAACATGTTATTGATTTGTTGAAACTGTAAAGCCTATGCTATTCTATTCAGTTGCTATCACTCAATCATTTTGTTTGTGTGTGTTTATTTATATATTATTTGAAAATAATAATAATAATAATAATAAGTGTGGTCATTATCTATTTGGCTTAGTTAAAATATGTGTATATATATATATATTTAGGCTCTTATTTATTCTCTTACTTTTATCATTGTTTATCTTATATATATAATAGTTAGTGATTGATTTTTTGTATAATATAAAGTTATTAATTATTAAAATAAAATGTAAAAAACTCAAAATTTCAAAGCCAACAATGTTGCAGCTGGCTTCATGCCAGTCCCAACTCAGTGAAAATGCAAGAGTTTTCAGGAAAATGTCAGGCAAAGAACGTTAGGACCCTTATGTTATCATCAATACTAATTGGAATTTGGAATTTATGAACCTTTTTTCTTATTTTGGTCTTCCTACCCTTTATCTTGCTTTGTCTGTCATCCAACAGCATATCCTTAGGACAGATACCATTACGGATGTAATACATTCCTACCCGTTGTATAATCTAATTTTCTGAGAAGTTTCCAAAAAATATAATATTTAGCCATAATTGCTTTTTACTAGGTATCACCATATTATCAGTCATACCTCATTCCATTGATGCTGCGTCAGCAAAAAATGTATCTTATTCATTCCAATTGACCCAAAGGTCATATTATCTATGAATGCATTCAACTCTTAACGCAATTGAACCTTCTTTTTTTTTTTAATGCCTTTCACAGGAAGGCGATGAAGGGCTGATCTCCCAACCTAATGGTCGTGGTGTTACACCGTCCCAAACTCTCAGTACCACTTGCGACAAGTGCAGTGGTTAAACAAATGGTAATTTCATGTTGGCATATTTAAATGCTTGGCCTTTCCAGGCACATGCCCGTTGTCATTTTTCTTTCGGACACTTTAGACTAAACTCAACACCGTATCTCAGCCACAACCTTTCTGGATACACATTGTGGGCTACATATATTGCATAATGAATGCACAATTATATTAAGCAACAATCTCTTTCATAATTTGATTCTAAACATGGATAAAAATTAACCATAGTTGGGAGAAAATTATCATAATGTAAGGAAGTTCCTAGAGTACTGATAGTAGCATATTTGAGTTGACCATATCTCAAAAAGAATTTAAGTTCTCAGAATCCAATTCTATGGTAACAACCAAAATAATATCTTTTGAGTTATCTTCTCCCATATAACTCAAAACAAATCTAAAAACTACCAAAGAAAGATGCATCAGTCCCAACTCATTCTAAACCTACTCCAATATCAATTCCAAATAAAAAGACAAAGCCCAAGATTTTAATATCCGGCTCAACCCTCTCCATCATCACATAATTACAATTAAAAAGGAAACCTATTCTTGGTTAGATTCTCCAAGGCATTGCCTGCTTCTCCTTAGGTCCAGATTCGAGTCTATTTAGTTTTGCCAAATGCATGTGGATTCTAGGTGATTGCATGCGTTTGTGGAGATTAGTCTTGACTCAAAAAGGATCCTAGATACGATGGCATAACAAAGGGACACAGCAGCACTAGCTATAGCCATTGGAGCATCCAAACTTCACTGTAATAAAAACATACTGTGGAAATTCATCTACAGTTGGAAGTTGTCTTGAATCCTCCATTTTATAATTCTATATAAAAGTTGCCAAATCTAGGGCATGTGAAGTTTTTCAACCTGACCAGATGTTACCTAAGTCTCATCACCAGCCAATCACAGTCACAATAGAAGTTCAACCACATTGAGCGCAGCATTAAATGAAAAATAGAGAATCAAGTCACTCAGCAGACTTCACATGTTGGTGAAGAAATATATTTAAACAGAAACAATGCACTCAATATTTGAGTAGCTTAAGCCATTACGTGTCATGACAACTAATAAAAGCAAAATAACAGGGAGAGAGAAACGCAAAAGTTTGAATACAGTGAAAATAAACTTACAATTGGATGTGCAAGCAGTTCCCCAAAGTTGTATATGTTTTCTCCAAGCAATGCAGCAAGGGACAAATCAAATGCCAAATCCTAAAATAAGATAGAAAGTATTAGAAAGTAAAAATTGCTGATGGAACAATGAGGAGCTCAGCAAAACATGCATGCGATTTCTCAAGGAAAGATTAAAAAACTCATCTACAATAACCAATTGATTTTATATTGAATCACACTTCTCTCATAAGAAATGTTTAACACGTCTCTGTACTGAGTCAAATAGCAATGTGAACTCAAATCGAATTGATATTTTGTTTGAAAAAATCCAAGAATCCAGATTTAATGATTCATTTATGATAAATAGAAGATAAAACAAAATTCATACATCATACAAAAGACAGACTAAAAGGCAGTATTCTTTCAGTTACTGTTGAACACCACTTGAATTTATGTATAACCTAAACATCAATCCTCCACATATGTAAGGAAGTTCATTTACCCCAACGTCACCCATTAACCATGTGTAGTGATCAATCAACCAAAATATCTCCAAACGTTGACACAAAATAATGCAAAGGCTGCATTCAATGTTAGGAACCGGTTCAATCAGGGAGTTGAAGAACTCATAACATTTACATCTTTTTCCCCCATAATTTCTAGAATATTCCAACACCTTCTTTAGAGGGAATAATTCTAAATTCAATAGGAAAAATACAGAGCTCAAATACTCGTTGCACACGAGTGATTGTACAAAAAAAGGCTTTGTCAACTCAAACAAGAAACTAAATGGTTTCCAATTTCCCTCATTTAGATTTCCAGGAGTGGCTAAATCAAAGGTTGATATTTTAGACAAAAATAGCGACACTGACACTGACACTGTTATAGGATCCTAAGGTGCAAGCAATATCATCCAGTTTGCCACTCTCCCAATATCCTCATTAGCTAGGTCACTTGTTCTCTACATTCTTTTTCATTATCTTTTGTTGTTCTCCATTCTTTCCCAAGATATCTCCTTATTATTTTCACTTCAAAGAACACTCACTCGTCATCAAACAAAAGTCTACATTTATGTTTTCAAACATGTCTTCATCGCAATTGATTGCCATACCAGAGAAAGGACATTTTACGACATATGCATTTAAAACTCTCTTTCTTTCTATGTAATAGCAAGAGATTATATAACAACATTTATGAGAGTTAAAAATAAAATGTGTGGATAATATAGAATGTGCATTAGAAATATCCATTTATAACAACAAATTTTAACCTTAATTGGTCATGCCAAAATAGCCCTAGTGAGTGACAGCATATGAAATCATTAAAGGCACCATGATGAACCTTGGTAAAATAATTCAAGACAGCACATAATGCCTACCAGCTTAAATGATTCTGATAGAGACTCCACCAATGTGTACGCCAGATAAAGAAGGGCACTTTTGTAAAACTCAGCAAATTCTTGACGAGATTTATGGTATTGAGATGAAACCCAATAATAGTTGGCATACACAGACGGATCAATGTCAGTCATGCTGTCAAGCGTACTCTTCCCGTCTTCTAGAAGTTTCTTGCACTCCTTTTGGCTGCCTTTCTCAAGCTGCAAGGTAGCTATTTGCATCTTAATGTAAAGGATTGGTTCCTCAATGCGCATTTGTCTAGTAGCAAGAAGCTTTTCAATCACACCTTCAAGATAACCAATGGAAGCTTCTTTCCCTGGGTACTGCCGAGAGACTATTACAGCAAAATGTGCAAGCTTGAGAAGATTGATCTTGGTCTCAAAGTCAGTGATGAAATTATGATATAACTGTATGAGAGCATCACCAGCCTGAAGATAATGAAAAAGAAAAAGGAGTCAAATGTACATAATAAACAAATATGAATGCGAATAGATATGTTTAAGCAAGTATTCCCAATCAAACACAAGCACAAACAAATGTAGAAGTAGCTTGCTACCTTGGAACATACAAAGAAAACAAGATTCATACTAAAAGATCCAACTAAAAAGAAAGAATAAGCCAAAGAAATGACTAGAAACTTCAGTGCATGCTCATTACTAGCCTGTGATAAACAATCTAACCTTATAAAACCATACATGCTAATAATATTTTTTTTAGTTAAGTATAAATTGTATAAGAGGAGGCTAAAGGGGTGCAACCCAAGTACAAAAAGGCAATAACAGCTACACGTCAAAATGCCTATTCAAAGGCCTCTACAAAAATTAGCTCAAAGAGAATTAACCAAGTGAAAAATCTAGAAATCCCCTAGATGTTGATTTGTGATTATGTATCAATTTTAAGCAGAATATAACAATCCCAATCAAACAAACAAACAAAAGAGACACAACGATTTTACGTGGAAAAAAATCACAATTGGACAACCTTCAATTGTAATAAAAAACCACGGGCGAAATGCCACTAATCAATCCACTACTGAAGAAAGAAAGATTACAAAGATAACAAATTTAAACCATGAGTAACCTTTGATGTACTCTCTTTAAACCATGAGTAACCTTTGATGTACTCTCTTTAAACCATGAGTAACCTTTGATGTACTCTCTTTAAACCATGAGTAACCTTTGATGTACTCTCTTTAAACCATGAGTAACCTTTGATGTACTCTCTTTAAACCATGAGTAACCTTTGATGTACTCTCTTTAAACCATGAGTTGAATACTCAATAAAACATCAAAGAAAACTCATAAAGTATCCCCAGATATAAACCCTAGAACCTAAAAAGTAGATCTGGAGTAGTTCAATAATCCCACTAGGTTTGAGAGAAAACCAAGTATTTATAGAGAACCAAAAGTAATCCTAGATTGGGAAGAAAACCAACTCTTTAATCAAATCTGGAAATCTGGATCCGCGATCTCCGCTCGAGCTCAACATAGCCCGCTCGGGCGGACTGACCAAAAACTGTGTGCGAACAAACTGAGATGCGCTCGAGCGTAGGAGAATCCGCTCGAGCGTAAAATCACACCCACCAGTATTTTTTGCTTGCCCCGACAAAACACTAAGACCTGCTACGCTCGAGCTCACAAGGATCCGCTCGAGCGGACAGAACAAAAACAAAAAAAATTAAATGCATTTTTGAATTTTGCTTCGGGGGTGCTGCCCCTCGCCCCCGCCGTGGCGCTGCCCCGGACCCGCCAAAGGGCGCTGCCCCCTCGACCCCCGTGAGCTGACCGGGCAGCTCGATCCCCGTCATAATCAGCGAAGTGGCAATCTTGAAAGCTTTATCATCACAAACGTCTCTGAAAGGCACAATTCGGGTTGGATTCGCATCTAAACACTCATAACCTCACTGAAATAAAAGTGCGAAAATAAATACAACTGAAAGGAGTTTTGTCAAACGGGGTTGCCAAAAATAAAACCTAACACCAAGCTTGGGAACCAACTACACAAAAAGGAATGCAATCTCTTTAAACTCAAAATTGAAGCTTTTGTCTATTCCTCTATCCCAAGCCTGCCTTCTCCTCTTCTCGACCTTTACTCCCTTCCAAGCAAAAAGAGGTACCTCAACTCCTTTGGAAACACCCAAACAATACCAAACAAGCCAAAGATCATCAACCATAACTCTCATACCACCTAACAATGAATAAGGAGATGGCTAACTGATTCACCATCAAATTTGCACATATAACACCAATTAACATGCACTTGTCTTCTCTTAATCAAACTGTCAATAGCAACGATTGGAATGGGCTTTTGTCCTCAACACACCTTTTCAAGGGAAAAAGAAGTCCCTCCACTACGCTAAAAAATCATAGCAAGACTTCACACTTAACTGCATCTTTGACTTCACTGTGACTTGACAACCTTTTTGTTGTTAGACAAAACGACCAAGGATCCTTGCACATATATTTTCCACAAAGTAATTTTTGCTTATTCCTTACTACACAGTTCGCATAACTTAATGATTCAACCGATTGACTTGAAAGCCCTTTAAAGAAAAAATACGTTCCTGAAAGATATTTACATCATTATTTTTTTTTATTGGCACTAGGGTGTCCGAATCAAAGCCCGACTAAACCCCAGGGGATTTGCATCATTATTTTTTAAAACTAGTAACAACTATAAATGTTTCAGTTCAAATAAAATTAGCCCTCTCATTGACTAAATGATAAACAGTCCAACCACTAGTATTTTTAGGATTTACTTTAGAATTGTGCAAGATGTGCTACTCAACTTGTACTAACATAACATCCTAAACCTTCCTGAAAAATAGAGTACCTTGGATCTTGATTTCTTCCAGTCCATACCCACATGCTCTACTAGTCTTTATATGAGAAAATCTATTCAAGATGCAGTATGTAAATATCAAGACTTCAACTATTAAAACCAAAAATGTACCCATCCTCTCTACATAATTAACCATCTCCATCAGAATGTCCACCAGAATGTCCACCAGAATGTCCACAAGCCTTTAACTAGCAGGCAATAGAAAATTCATCTTAAAGGACCTTATCCAACAAGTTCCATTTCCCCATCAAAGAGCCTCCTTCCGAAAGATTGCACAACAGCAGGTAATGCTAATCAATGCTCGACCCATCAACTCAACTCCTCATAACTAAAATGGTAAACCAAATGATCACAAGAAGAGTATGGCATCAATTACATCTAATCTTAATTTCGCCTACCTAAATCTCTATACATGATCAAGCATTTTAAGAGGATCAAGTATATTATTATCAGCTGCTGGTCAATAAAACTTCAAGGAACTCCCAAATTAGTTTTCCTCTAACGCATTTGAAAGGAGACATGTAGCTGCACATAAAAAAAACATTAAAAAAAAAAAGGGACAGTGAAACTGATTACGGCATTGGTTAATATTCAACTTATCAGCAAATTTGTTTCCAGTTCAGCTGTAAAATTATGATAAAGATAGGCTTTAAGTTGTAGTTCCATAAGAATCCAAATTTTCTATTGACCCTAATCAAATAAAGGTTTCACTTGGGTAAAGTTAGATCTCATTATAGACAAAAATAAAAATAAAAAATCCCTCCAGTTAAGACGTCTATTCCATCTTTGGAAACATAACAACAAATAATACTAAAAATTCAAACTTTGGTCTCTCAGACACCAAAGGGAAAACCGGTAACCATTTTTAAAGTACTTCCACAATCTTACATAAGAAAAAATATATATAAAAAAAACCCTAATTCTCCAAAACCCTAAAAAGATCTCCACACCTTAATCTGAGTAAAACAATAAAACACACACATAGTCGTCAATCAATCAAACAAACAAAAGTCCTAAAATTTCCAAAATCCCAAATGCCTAAAGCGGCTGATAAACACATACATACATACATATATATATATATAGAAATTGACAATGAAGAAGAGGTGCCTGAAAGACGGCGAGAGCGACGAACTGTTCGAGCTTGAGAGTGAGCTGGTGCCATAGCTTCCGCTGGTACAGATCCGAGAGGGTATTGTACCATTCGCCGAGCTCTGGGTGGGTACTGTGAAGGGAATCCAGGTATTGCAGAGCGGCCATTGCTGATGAACCCCAAAATGAGAGAGAGGAGAGAATTTGAGACCAGTTTTGGCTTGTGTGCTCGCGTATAAAAAGCCTTTCTCTGCTTCCCGTATAAACACATACATATTTTCTTTATGCTTTAATAATGGACAAATTATTTGTGTTATTTTAATTTTTGTAATTTTAATTGTTTTGGTTTTGACCATAAATTTATAATTTTATCTCAATTTGATTTAGATACTAATAAATTTATTAAATTTAGTGAGTTAATCTCAATTAATTTAGTGATAATTTTTCGTAAAAAACACTAATCACCTTGCTTGGTTTCCAGTTTTCAAAAATACTTTTCAGAAAATTCTACTATCTTATTTTTCGTGTTTTTTTGTTTTTACTGAATTTTTTTTACTATTTTAAGAAATTTTTTTACTTTTTAGACACACCTAACATAACTACACCTAAAAAGTAAAAAAATTATAAAAAACATCTTTTAAAAATTCACTAAATACCAGAAATACAAAAAAAAATAAGAATTCAGTACATTTTTTGTATTTTTATATATTTATTAATTTTTAAAAATATTTTTTCACAAATTTTTTACTTTTTAGATACATCTAAGTAAGGTGTATCTAAAAAAGTAAAAAAAAAAAGTTTAAAATTTAAAAAATATTCACTAAAAACAAAAAAAACACAAAAACCAAAAAAGTCAGTTTTCAAAAAACTTAATCCAGAAAACTCAAACCAAACACAGTGAATAATATTATTAATTTGGTCAAATTGATAAAAAATTTAAAATTAAGGGTCAAAGTTAAACTAATTAAAAGTATAGAGACTAAAATGACACAATGAGTAAAATGTAAAGACTATTGATGTAATTAGCCCAAAGATAACGTACTTCTTACGTCACTTCTTACATCCCAAAATATTAATTCCTTTTTTAAAATCGATAACTAAAATAATAGGAGTTTTCCATTTTGTCTTTCTTCTAAATTCATATATAAAAATAATAATTATAACAATTGATGCTTCTCAAAAAAAAAAAAAAACAATCAAATGATAATTTTTAAAAATTAATATTTTTATAATGTAATGACTGTACTATTAAAAATAAAAATATATAAGAAAGAAAAAGGTTAAATTCTCCCCCAAGAGAGCCTTCGTTTGGTATTGGCTTTTTTAATTGACTTTTTTGTGTTGAGGGTTTTTTAGTCTCATTTGGTTCGACTTTTCTGGATTTTTTTACTTTTATAAAAGAAAAAGTGTAATAATTGTGGTTTGAATATAACATTTTGTCTTATGGCTTATATAACCAATTTTGTCTTTTTGTGCTTTTTTAACCAAAAATCTTTAGCCCAATGAAGCTTAAGGTTCCATTTGGTTCTCTTTTGAAATTATAATTCTAATCAAAAAAATTTTAAAACTCTTTTTAAGATTCATAATCAAACACACAATTTAAAACTCAATTCAAAATTATTTTTAAAACTCATAGTCAAACTATTTTCAAAACTCTATTTTTAAAAACAAGGATAAATTACAAATACATCTACTGGGTTTGATTAAAATACGAATCACTCTTGTGGTTCTGAAAATTATATTCCACCCCCTAAGATTTCTAATTTTATAACAAATTGTCCATTTTATTAATAAATCATAAAGTCAATTAACGGTTTTTAATGATGTTAGAAATATGTTTCAATTAATAATTTAGGTAATTTTATTATTGTATAGGAGAGCAATTACGAATTTTATTTTTTAAGTTAATTCTATTAAATAAAAAATTCTGAGAAGCAGATATTTGTAATTTTTCAAATCACAAGGGCAATCTCTATTTTAAGTAAATCTCAGGAGGTGTATTTGTCATTTATCCTAAAAAAAAATTTTAAAAAAAATTATTTTGTTTTTTAAAATTATTTTTAGAATCATAATTTAAGTATCTAGTTGTGTTTTGAGTTATGAGTTTTGAAAAGAAAAAAATTGTTTGGTTATGAGTTTTGAAAGAGTTTTGATTTGTATTTTTTTTAATGTGCACTGTACTGCATTTCATACAATTGTGCGCTGTATTTTTTAAAATATTTTTAAAAATTATTTTTTATTTAAAATATATAATTTTTATTTAAAATATTTTATTTTATTTTATAAATATTTTTTTTAATATTTTAATTTTTTTAAACTTTTTTTAAAAATATTTATTTTTAGAATTTTTGAAAAAAAATTTGAATCACAATATATATCTAAATCCTAACAAATTATTTGGCTAATACTTAAAAAAATAACAAAAAATCTTTTTCTAAAAAATTAAAAAATATTTTATTTAAAAAAAAATTTGAGATAAGAAAAATTTTAAAGAACAAAATAAAAAATATTTTTTTGAATTTTTTTTAATAGAATTTTGATAAGAGTTTTTGAATTGAATTTGGAGTTATGTGTTTGGTTATGATTTGAGTATGAAGTTGTATTTTGAATTTAAAATATTAAAAAATATATATTTATATTTAAAATAAAAAATAAAATTTTCTTAAACATTTTTAAATGGGAGATTTATTTATAAATCTCATTTAGTAGACTTATAGCCCAATAAGTCCATAAATTTTTCTAATGTTCAATCAAGGCTCACATATTTCAATTTATGTTCTAATAGGTCATTTTTTTCCATATTATAATTATTATGTGGACTATTTTACCCTTATAGACTTTTATTATAATAATATATATATATATATATAATATTATACTATATATCTAGGGGAGAGAATATCAATTATTAGATATATTTTATTTGTGGTACATATAAAACATTGTATATAAAATATTGAAGATTATTAATCTTAGTATTTTTTTGGTTTCAATGCGAGGGATTTACTTAATCAAGGATCTTCCTTTATCATTATTTTGCATTAAGGTCTTGCCATGGAAGAATATTTGGAAGAGAAGATTAGTTGTAAACTGAAAATAGAGATGATAATGGATTCACAATAGAGATGATGGCAAATCGGCGATGAACAATATTTTTTTTGCCATTGTTACACATAAATTGTAGTCTTTTCGTCGATTTGTATAGCCACCGATATTGTGTAAGTTATTCACCAGTATTATACCGGCATTGATTATACACAAATTTTTCTAAAAAGGTTTGTCAATATATGTGAACTATTTGATAATTTTTGATGATTATATATTGTTTGATGATTTTTGTATATTGTTTGTTATTATATTTGTTATTTGAACAATTATTTTTTGTTGCCATTAAACAATCGGAATAGTCTATTTTTTTTCTTTCAATTTTGTTTCATGTTTTCATATTGCAATGTGAATGTGCACATTGGTATGAATTTAGTATTTTTAAGGCTAATTGTTTGTTAATTGTAAATTATGAACATTCATTGTATTTTGATACAAGTTTTGTTTTTAAAAAAAACTTGAAAGTTAGTTGCATATTTGTTGTTTTTGTTACTATACTTGTTGATTAAACAATCATTTTTGTTACTGTTGAACAATCGAAATAATCGATTTTCACTTTTTCCAATTTTGTTTTATATTTTTACGTTGCAGTGTAAATGTTCATATTGGAATGAACATATTTTTTTAAGGCTAGTTGTATATTAATTGTAAATTGTGAACATTCACATTGTATTTTTGGACTAGTTTTGTTTTTTGGAAAGTTAGCTGTATGCTTGTTGGTTTTGTTATTATGCTTGGTGGTTGAATAATTATTTTTTGTTACCATTAAACAATCGAAATAGTCGATTTTCACTTTTTTCAAATTTATTTTATGTTTTCATGTTGCTGTGTAAATGTTTACATTTGTATGAGTTTATTTTTTTTAAGGCTAGTTGTATATTAATTGTAAACTGTGAACATTCACATTGTATTTTGGTATAAGTTTTGTTTTTTCGAACATTAGTTATATGTTTATTATTTATTATAAACATTCACATTGTACTTTAGTATGTATGTGCTTTGTTATTTCAAAAGTTAGTTATATGCTTATTGTTTACTGTAAACATTCATATCGTATTTTCATTTTCATTCAAAAATTTTTGTTGCGTTATTTTTAAAACTTTCGCATTATAAAAAAGTAAAAAATTCATAATATGAAATTTTTATCGTGGAATGAAAGAGACATTTTCTTCTTAAAATGAAGGAGAAACTTTTTCTATAGAATAAGAGAGATTTTTTTCTTAAAATAAAGGAGAGATTTTCTCCATGAAATGAAGGACTACGATTATTTTTTATTATATATTAGTTTCAAAATAAAAGCATGTGTAAAAAATTAGAAAAGGTGATTTAGTCATATTACATTAAACAGAACTTAATGGAATACTCAAAAAGAAAATGAATTAAATGGAATAAAACATTTAAAAAGAGGATTTATAAAAAAAATGACTATTTTTAAAAATTTTAAAAAATAAATCCAAAAATTTTCAAAATACAACTCAAAATTTAAAAACTTAAAACTCAAAATACAATTCAAAACTCAAAACTTTTTTCAAAACGCATAATCAAACAAATTTTCTCTTTTTAAAACTCCACTCACAACTCCACATTCAAAAACTAAACAAAATGGAACCTAATGTTTTGAGCCGAAACAATATTAGAAAACGTAGGAGTGGCAACAAGGACAACACTATAAAAACATAAAATTACATTTTCTATTCACTCCCACTACATCTCCTAATAATTCAACTCCCAAATTTAACAACAATGATTTAAAACACTAATTTTGGTGCTCTAATGGAGCACTAATAACATGACAAAGAGGAGGGGGAAAAAAAGAGAAAAAAAGACCAAAACATCACATCACAATAGGCGGGATCCACTGCCAACTCATTAGAGCCTACTTTAGAGCTCAAGAATTAGAACTCCAAAATATTTTTCCAAATTAGTTCCTATTGACGTGGCTAAGACCCATATGAAAATATACCCACCCTCCCCTCTCTTTCTCTCAAACTTTATTTTTACATAATTTTACATTGCCATCATAAAAAAGGAAGAGATTGTTAATCATGTTGTTTAATTTTGATGATTGCTAAAATAGTAATTGAAAATTTGTAAATAATATACATATTTTATATTATTTGACACAAAATATTATCTGTTTAAAATATATTTTGTATGATACATTTG